CTGCAGCTTCAGCAGGGTCTCCTGAGGGTCATAGCCAGAGTTCTGGGCCAACACCTGCAAATGATTTTTACCCAGCTTGGATTAGAGAGGAGGACTGCAGAAAACATGATGTGAAGAGTGTTTATTTGCAAAAAGAGTCAGCAGGGTCACCTTGGGGATAACGAGAAGAGCATCTGCAAATGCCTGGACTCCTAGCTGGGCTCGGCCTTTCACGTTGGGCTTGTGTTTTACCAGAGCATCTGCCAAAGCCACCTCAAGCGCACCTGCACCTGACACAACGCAACCTGAAGACAGAAGGATACATGGAGAGAGCTGTGAACAAACCAGTAAATAAAAAGGTTTTACCATAAATAACTTTACTGTGGAACCAGGTCATTTGGTTTGAACTAATTGGCTTTTTATTTTTAACCACTTTACTGATAACATTGCATATTAGTGCAATTTAATAACATTGCAATAAATATGGCTTGATAAAAATAAAGTTACTCTACAAAAAAAACAAGAAGAAAACAAGATAATAAGTAAACAGCCTCCAATGTTATATCTAAAACTTCAAGGAGAATTCCGGTTTTTAACACTTTTAGCCCATTTTCCAGTGTCCAGGATGAAATCGAATGATCAACACCAAAATGTTGACAATTGCTCCTGTCTCTGCTTTTTGGCTCATGCAGAATCCCCCCCTGGCTGCTTCAGAATGGCTTCCATAGTGCATATCCGATAATGTCCTTAAAACAACCTTAAACATTCTTTTTTTAAAATATGCTACTCACCGGGTCGTCAGCGCTGTTCAATGACGTTCCAAAAAAAGTTTCGTAAAGAAAAAACGTTCCTGTAGTGTTTTATTTAGCATTTTGTAAATCCCATTGAGTTCTCAGAATCAGAATCAAGTTTATTGCCAAGTAGGTTTGCACTTACAAGGAATTTGACTTGGTGTTGTTGGTGCAGACAAAAAACAAAACAAAATAGCAAAATAAGATAGAATATATATAAAATATATATATATATATATATATATATATATATATACACAGAAGCTATATACAAACAGTAGACTGTGCGTTAATGTAACGCAGAAATCCTGAATGGGGGAGAGAAACATTGTCCAGTGTCACGGGCGGGTCTTGGCCTTGTTGATAAGGCCGATAACAGATGGGAAAAAACTGTTTTTGTGACGGGAGGTTCTGGTCCTGATGGACCGCAGCCTCCTGCCAGAGGGTAGTGGCTGAAATAGTCTGTGACTGGGGTGCGAGGGATCAGCCACAATCTTCCCTGCACGCCTCAGAGTCCTGGAGGCGAGCAGCTCCTGGAGAGATGGGAGGTTGCAGCCAATCACCTTCTCTGCAGACCGGATGACACGCTGCAGTCTGCTCTTGTCCTTGGCGGTGGCACCAGCGTACCAGATGGTGATGGAGGAAGTGAGGATGGACTCAATGATGGAGGAGTAGAACTGCACCATCATTGTCCTGGGCAGGTTGAATTTCTTCAGCTGCCGCAGGAAGTACATCCTCTGCTGGGCTTTCTTGGTGAGGGAGTCGATGTTCAGCTCCCACTTTAGGTCCTGAGAGATGATAGATCCCAGGAAGCGGAAAGACTCCACAGTGTCAATGGTGGAGTCACAGAGGGTGATGGGGGTAGCTGGGGCTGCGCTCTTTCTAAAGTCTACAACCAACTCCACTGTTTTTAGAGCGTTGAGCTCCAGGTTGTTCTCCCTGCACCAGGTCACCAGATGGTCAGCCTCCCACCTGTAGGCGGACTCGTCACCATCGGAGATCAGTCCGATGAGAGTGGTGTCGTCTGCGAACTTCAGGAGCTTGACAGACTGATGACTGGAGGTGCAGCTGTTGGTGTACAGGGAGAAGAGCAGAGGAGAAAGAACACAGCCCTGGGGGGAACCAGTGCTGATGAGCTGTGAGTCAGAGAACTGTGTTCCCAGCTTTACGTGCTGCTTCCTGTCCGACAGGAAGTCTGTGATCCACCTGCAGGTGGAGTCAGGCACATTCAGCTGGGAGAGCTTCTCCTGGAGCAGAGCTGGGATGATTGTGTTGAAGGCCGAGCTAAAGTCCACAAACAGGATCCTGGCGTAGGTTCCTGCGGAGTCCAGGTGCTGGAGAATGTGGTGAAGGGCCAGGTTGACAGCGTCATCTACAGACCTGTTGGCTCTGTAGGCAAACTGGAAGGGGTCCAGGAGGGGGTCCGTGATTTCTTTAAAATTCCAATTTAAAATTCCAATAAAAACTGTTGGAATAGTCAATATCCCTCCGCCACCGGAAACGGAAATGGGGCCTGTTTACGCTTAGTTGTAGTCTTTTCGCAAGGCCCAAGTGTTTTTGCTTCACTCTGTGTACTCCGACGTCGAGGTGCTAACGTCTCTGTTAAACACTTTAAAAAACTCTGAAAATGGAATACGAAAGGTGGATTCTTGAGGAGGACATATTGGACTTTGAGTTTGACGGTAGAGGATACCGTCGCCAACTAGTGGTCTGGAGTGTGCAACGCTTCAGATTCGAACCGGAAGCGGAAGTTTATAAGCGGTTGTGATGTATGGGAAAAAATAGTTCTGGGATTTACAAAAAGCTAAATAAAACAAGACAGGAACGGTTTTTCTTCACGAAACTTTTTTTGGAACGTCATTGAACAGCGCTGACGACCCGGTGAGTAGCATATTTTAAAAAAAGAACGTTTAAGGTTGTTTTAAGGACATTATCGGACATGCACTATGGAAGCCATTCTGAAGCAGCCAGGGGGGATTCTGCATGAGCCAAAAAGCAGAGACAGGACCAATTTGTCAAAATTTTGGTGTCGATCATTCGATTTCATCCTGGACACTACAGAAAATGGGCTAAAAGTGTTAAAAACCAGTATTATCCTTTCATATTGCAACAGGGCTTTGCACAAGTCAATACTTCTTGACAGTTCTGGGTTCCATATAATGCTGGGAAAACATTTTAATCATGCAGGTTTGTTACCGTCTTCGATGGCGTTCTTGACGGCTCGCAGACCATCCCTCACGGCGTCTTTGATCTGCGTCAGGGTGTGTTTGTTTGGACCTTTTATCAGCAGTGTAACGGAGCGAGGGTTCCCACACTTCTCTATGAACGTGTATTTCTCCTCCCCCTGTAAAATAAAAAAATCAACAGCTTTAATCAGCTTGGTCTAGAGACCTTAAACAAGACAGGAAAGAAAATAACACTTGATCTTGACAGAAAACATATTTTTTCAACCTTCAGCAGTCAGAGGAGCTGAGCTGAATACTCACTAATGTGTGTTCATAAACCAGCCCAGCGTGACCCAAGCAGTCAGGTGTGAGGTCATCAACAGAGTTCATGGCGTTGCCACCGCAAGCAAGGGTGAGTCTGGAAAAAACAAGACGCATTCAGGGCTTCGACATGTTTTACACTTCATCTCATTCACTAAGATTTTGGACCAAACAATGTCAATTTTTATCCTCTATAAATTCAATAAATAAAAAATAAAATAAAAAAGAAGTTGGCTTTGATTCAGCAAAAAGGTAAAGCTATGTTATTTGAACTAACTTAGAGCTATAATATTTAGACAAAGTGTGGATTGCATTTCCTTAAAGCACAATTTACTTTTTGTGCCATTTTTTTTGTTAAAACTATTTAGTAAGTTAAAAGAAATAAATAAAAACTGACAAGAGACAGGGATTACCCTATGAATTCCTGTCTTTCTCTAATTAGCTCTGACCGAAACATCAAATAAACAAAAATATTTTTTGTTTTACCCATTAATAAAATGCTACATCTCCCAACCATCTTCAGAGAGGAGAAATGGTTAGGAAGGACAACAATATACATAACTGGGGATAATTTAGTAATTATTTCTCTGTTGGATTATTACTTTTTTTTTTTTTATATTACTTTTATTAATCTTTCAGAATAAAGGAATCAATCAAAATAGGAATTATTAAAAATACAGAAATAAATAAATGCTCAATAAATAAGCATATCATTAATTGCCCCCAAAAAACAATAAATAAATAAATAAATGTAGGTAGAAATTAAATTATACAGTGAGACATAAATGTATACATCTCTTTTAATTATCTTATTCGCTTCTGCAATAATTACCTTATTTATTTGCATAATGAGGCAGAAATGCAGACAAAAATGTAAATACGGCAGGCAGAAATAAATAGGGTAAAAAAATACAAAAAAAGATAATGCAGACAAAAATATATCATGCAAATAAGTAAATACTTAAAAAAATAATACATAGATACAGTTAAAGATTATTACAGACAATAAATAAATAAGGTAATTACAAAGGCGAAAAAAAGCTAATTAAAAGAGATATATACATGTATGTGTCGCTGTATAATTTAATTTCTACCTGCATTTATTTATTTATTGTATTTTTGAGGGGCAATTATTGCATGCTTATTTATTTTAAGAGCATTTATGCATTTCTGTATTTACTTGTAATTATGGCAGGATTGGTCCTCCATAAGGAATTAGCAGGTAAGACATCAAGGACAAGACCAGAGTTTTGGGAAATAGCAGCAAGTTTGGTTAATTTCTCTTAAATTAAGACATTTAAACCAGACCAGGTTCCCGAACACAGGACTCGGGTCAAAAATTTTTTTAATGGTGTAAGTCAAAGTGAAAGGACAGGTAAGAACAATAATTTAACAGGGTTAATTCGCTGAATAAACTACAACCCCATGTACGGATATAGAGGAAATGGGTCTTTAAAGCCAATTTTCTCCATTTTCCCTTAAATATTCCTTTTTGCAAAATGCTAAATTCTACTTCCGTATTTCCCAGACTATGAAAAAACCTGTGCACCAAATCTAAGATCCATTATTTGTTCCCTATTCATCTTACCTCTCCATGTTCCTCCTCTTGGCTCTGCGCAGGGCGACTATTCCTTCCTTAGCGAGAGCATCCAGGGAGAATGGATCGATGCCCTGACCAAACCAGAGAGAAGGGCTCAGTTTACCATTGTTAATTAAATCAATAAACTGCCTTCAGGGATGGAAGGACTGTTCTGATCCGCTGAATACATGCAGGAGAGGAGCAGGCTCTCCTGATGCAGAGGTACAGATCAGAGTTACTGTGGCACAGATACAGGAGACCAGGGGGAGCTACGTTAGCACCCATGGGTGTTCACTGTGCACTTTAATTCAGCCTCAGATCTTTCACAAAGTGCAGACAGATTAACACACTGAAGCCAATAATGTCAAAAAAATGGCGACTCTGCACAGAATAAAAATGGGTAAACACCTGAAACCCTCCTGAACGGTACCTTTTGGTTGATGACAACAAAGCCCTTGTCGTCATTGGGACAGACTTTCTTCTTCAAGTCGATGATCTTCTGCACGCGCTCCTCGATGAACTTCCTCTCTGCAGCCACAAGCTTCTCCCTCTCCCCAGCGCTCTTGTAGAAGAAGCCAGAGTTGACCTCCGTCTTCTCGTACTCCAGAGAGACGTTGCACGTTAGAATGAAAGCGTCCTCCACCCTCTTCTTCATGTCTGGATGTCTGGCTCCGTGATCCAGCACCAAACCTTTGATCAGTCTGGGAGAAAAAATAAAAAAAGACAATTTAGATTTGCTTCCCTAAATCAAATAGAAATGACATCTGTTCCATGTGGTAAAACTTACTGTGTGTCGCTCTCAGTCTTATGCTTCATCTCCATGATTTCCACCATGTACAGGTCAATGGGTTCACCAGGTTTAGAGATGGTGAGCACAGCATCTACCACAGCCTGATGATGGAGACATGGACAAACATTTTTAACTCTAAGCTAGGAATACAGCTAGGAATCAGCAGGCAAGATTTTTATTTAACTCTGGTGAGGGATCATTTGTTCAGTGGATAAATGACAGTAACTGGGTTTATACAGGAATGAGTAACTCTATTTAATGCTTTTAAAGCTCTTAGACATAAATGTAATGCAATGTCCCAAATTCCTCGTTTTCCAGCTATTTTTGTTGAAATTTGCATTTTCCCCATTTCTTTTAGCTTTTCTCTGCCTCGAGCTTCTTTTCCAAACATACGGCTTTACGATCATTCAGAAGCAGTTCCGCGCAAATATATTGAAATATAAAATATCTGAAGAAATTGTTTTATAATATATATATTTTATAAATAAAGCATTTTAAATGCCACGATAATCACATTTAATTAATTTTAATGCCAATTAAAGGTTAATTTAAAAAACAATAATCTAATGATATTTAATGACCTGTGGAAACCCTGAGTAAGGCAGCATAAAAAGATGAAAACAGGAAAACTGCAACCATCTGTGCCGAAACAAAAGTTATCGGTATCAGTGACATATTTTGACACAAAATAAGAACTGTAGCTATACCAAGATGTTAATTTAGGACTCAACGGGTTTGATGTCTCATTCATGTGTCGTTTTTTAGTTTGTGAATATGATAAAATTCAAGCTGCTCCTTAAACCAGACAGATTCAAAACAGATAATCATACTGCAGCAAACTTGCTTTGATTTCTTAACTGAAGTTTTTATCTTCTTACTTTAAATAAACTTGATGGACTTTGAAACAATGGCAGTTTTAGGTTTTCTGGATTCAGGAACACAGAAAAATAAATGAGTGCAAGTAGGAAAAACAAAAAATAGAAGCATGCATGAGTAGATATCACCCCTCTCTTTCACCTAAGTCAGGCTTGATTTCCTTTCATTCATTTCTTTTACTAAAAAGAAATAAGAATGGAACAATAGAAAATGTATCCTGAGTTTTGAATATATTTGGAGTACTTTTTAATCCATTTCTGTCCTGCTAATGTTGATGTACCTATAATATGCATATGATGTGAATGCATCATTATCCCCGCTATGCTCATAATAAATCCTGGTGAGAACCGGTTTAGGCAGCATCCTTCGAAGAACTCACAACCATGAAGGCTGGAAGTGATCAGCTGTGAATTGGGACAGTCTAGTCTTCAGCAACCAATCTGCACTCCCCCCTAAGGGTAACCCTGACAGCATGAGAAATGGACCTATGATGCTTAAACATCACGTATTTTGAACTTCATTTAATCTGATATGTACATTATTTATTGGAGGAAAACCATGATATCAAAAAATACAAAATAATATGGCTTCATTGTTATGACTAGTGCACAATAAGTGCAATAAAAGCCATATGACAAAGGTTACGGAACCAAGCATACTTTAAACATGTTTGAGCACACCATTTCCCTTTTCTGTCACCAGTTCACCACAGTTGTTCCAGCGGTCCACACTTTCTCTGCTCTTTTTCTCTTCGTATTCTCCTTCTTTCCCCTCGCCCTGCTTGGCAAAGGTTTGCCTGCTGTATCTAAAAGTAGCAGAAGCAGCAACCCAGACTGACAGCAGCTTATTGGCTAATGCAGCCTGGTCCAGACGCTCCGGAGGGCTTTACCATATTAACAGGAGAAACGGCGCAAGTGAAATTAGACACTGTCGTCGGATAACATCCAGTAATTTATAAATGTTTTAAATCAGTTTGTGTCCGGATCTGGACCGCGGTCAGCTAATCCGGGACCTCTGACCTAAAACATGCAGGACAGGTGTCCCTGAGGAACAGGTTAGGGAACCAATGAGATATGGGGTGTTTATTTTCATTTTTAATGGGAGACGTCAAACAGAAAGTGGCCTCCAGGATTTTGTGTTTTGATTATTTGTTAGCAGCTGCTAACAAGGTTTCTACGTTTAAATCAGATTGGATCAAAATTGTTCCCTTGGCTCGAGTTAGAGGGCAACCATCTACTGCAAAGGGCAGAAGCAGGAAGGTAGTTTGGCGTTTGACTGGAAACCCCTGTTTGAAATAAAGACAGCCGTACGAAACATGAAATATTACCCAGGTTAATTTTAATTTAACAAAAATGGCACCATCTAAGAAACTTTATAAGGCCCCTAAATTTTTTAGTACCTATTTTTCTTCACTTGGGGGCCCTAGTGCTCCGATTAAAAAAAGATTATCGTATAGCTCTGCTTTATAGATTTCCATAGAGCTGCAGGATTTAGAATTATTAAAGTCATCACAATCGCTACATGAGATATTAAAGGAAGCGCAAATATTGAAGTTTTGTTGCAAATCTTCTGACAAACATCAGGACATGACCTCGACCTCTAAGAAGACTAAAAAAGAAAATGATGCCAAATGTTTTCAATTATGGTTTTCCAGAGAAATCAGATCAGATGTCTATCAAATTCACACATCAGATGCAAAACTCTGTTCCCATTAGAGGCAGCGAATGCTTTAATAACAAAAATAAATAATTCCTATTGAGGGATGGGAGTCAAGAAACCAACCACACTAAATTAAAGGCAAGTGTGTGATAAAAAGACACTAATAAATATGCTGATTTTTACCTAAAACTAGTGAAAGAAAATGGCCTGTATTCAATACAGCTGAAAGACATCACTGTTCTCAACTTTTTCCAAGAACAAAAGTTTGTATTTTACTAGATTCTCAGAATGTAACGATAAGCTGGAAGAAAAACATCACCAGTTTTACATAGAGTAAAACTGCCTCCGTCTGTCCCCTCATGCCTCACCTCAGTGAGCAGGTCGGCCAGCTCTGTGTGGACCTTGGTCCTCAGAGAAGTTCTGGCTACATGGATGAGCGTCTCTCTGTCCATCTCCCGAGTGACTTTAAGTTCCTCCAGAACAGTCAGGGCTTTCTCTTTTGCTGCCTCAAAGCCTTCGGCTATTATTCTTGGATGTAGACCCTGCAGCACAATATTAGGAATGACTTCAGAATTAGAAAACATGCGATAAAAATCATTAAACATTTAGGAGAATTTTGAAAAACGTGGACTGAATCCCCTTCATTAAGGTCTTACCTCTGAGACGTAGAGGTCAGCCTGCTTCAACAGCTCGCCGATGATGAGGACATTCGAGGTTGTACCGTCGCCTGTGATGTCATCCTGCGCCGTAGCTACTTTAGCAATCAGTGATGCTGTGGGGTGCTGAATTTGCTTTAAGGGGAAATTTGTAAAAAGATGACGAGTAAAACAAAAATGATGAAACCTTAACCATTCATTACAAGATTCAACCTTTTAATTGTCTTCCATTTAACGACTGACTTTTATAAATCATTAATATTAATTAAGATTAGGGCTGCAAATAATGCTAATGAATAATCTCTGGATTATTTTTTCGATTAATTGATTACTAATCGGAAAGCAAAGGGTTACTTAAGGAAGATTTTATAAAATTAAACCAGGTGAATATAAATTTTCCAGTTCTGGGTAGAGAATATAAAAAATAATAACAATAATAAAATATATATATATATTTTCCCATTTTTATGTAATTATCGCTCTAGGTGGATTGCTGTCAGCTGAAGGCCTTTATTAGAGTCTCTATAATAATTGATTACTAAATCAGTTGAAATTATTTCAATAACGAATTACCGTAAATCCTCTAATATAGGCCCGGGCCTTTATTTCACTCAAGTGCATCGCGGTCCAGGCCTTTATTGGAAAGAGGCCAGAATTAGAGACAGGCCTCTATTGCTATTTGAGCAAAACAGACTACCAGTGGAATGAATAAAAATGAGATTTTGTGTCTATTTGAACCTATAAAACACTAGGTTCATTTATTGAAAAGGTACAGTTACCATGTCTCGCTTGGTTTGAAGTAAAAAAGAAAGAAAAAAATCCTCCAATTCTGTTTAATCCTCCTCCTCAGTTTCCTCCTCCTCTTCATCTCTCCCTTTAATCTCCTCATCACTCGCGCTCCTCCTCATGTTCTGCTGCGTGTCTGTTCTCTTCCTCGCGCAGACGGGCAGCAGTCAGGGCCTGTCGTCCAGCTGCGCAGGGCTGTGGTACTTATATGTTACTTACTACCACAAGTATAATGTTGAGGTATGCCCAGAAAAAACGTTTATAGCCTCGGCCTGTATGAGAGACCGGCCATTATTTACCTCCTCTGACAGCGAGACCGGCCAATGTTAGAGTCCCGGCCGCTAATGGAATACAGGCCAATATTAGAGAATTTACGGTAATCACCATTAATCCGATTCATCGTTTCAATCCTGATTTAGATAAAGACAAAATACTGAAAGAGGGTTAAAGGAAACATCTGGGAAACAGTTGATAAAATTCCAACCAGAAAGTATCATTTATATTTCACACGTTGACATTTGCTACAGAGGAAAAGTTTGTTCTGATCCGCTGAATACATGCAGGAGAGGAGCAGGCTCTCCTGATGCAGAGGTACAGATCAGAGTTACTGTAGCACAGATACAGGAGACCAGGGGGAGCTATGTTAGCATCCATGGGTGTTCACTGTGCACTTTATCACAATACAGGTCTAATTAACCTTACTTTCTTACAGATTGCTTCATATTAATAGAAATTAGGGTTGTCACGATACTAAACTTTTCAACTCGATACCAATACTAAGGAAAATATTCGATACTCGATACCAATTTCGATACCACAAGGATAAAATTTCAACAGAAATATTTTGATTAATAATTAAAATACAATAAATACAATAAACAATAAGAACTACATTTTGAGGTTGTTTTCTGTGCACAGTATTTAGCAAGCTTGATAAAAAACTTACAAAATGAAAATTAAGTTTTCCTTATTTGGCTATGCTTTGCACACATAACAATGACACTAGCCAAACCGGTTAAGAAACAAAAATAATTCTCAGCAGCGGCACCAAAAAAAGTCTGAAACTGAAAAGTTCAGAGAATTATTCAATCCCACAGTGTTCAGAAAGTGCATTTTCCTCTATTCTGCACTTTAGATGAATGACTGTTTAGGTGTCAGTGGTACTCGATACTTTTGAAAATGAGTATTGTATCCGGATACAACATTTCAGAATCGATACTTTTTTGAGTATCGATACTTTTGACAACCCTAATAGAAATAAAAATAACACTTCAGATTTACCAATATTATCTTATGTTGGTGTTAAGCGCTTGATCTACAACTGCATATACAGGCAGATATTAACCAATGTCTGGAATCAGACAATTCATTCAGCTTGATAAACTCTAACCGACGATATAAAAAAAAATTATATTATTGACCGATGAAAGGTGAATAGGCCAATGGAGGGAATATTTTTCAAGATTAAAAACATGACAGCAATTTGTATCTTAAACAATTCTCCAACATTAAACCAATCCTGTGAACTAGCACCGTATTGAAATACATGTAGGCTGAATCAATAAATCTGATTAATCGATTATTGAAATAATCGTCAATTAATTTAGTGATCGATTAACTGGAGCGTAGAGACTGTAAAACATGCCTTTAGCTGACAGAGCAACATTTTGAGCAGCAATTATACCAAAATTGTATACAAAAAAAAAAATTGAAAAAAGGAAGCATTTTGCATTTAAAAAAAACAAAAAACAAAAAAAAAAACTCTGATATGTTTTCATCTGCTAAAATGCTCGATCCACAACTCCAAGTTGAAAAGTTTTAGTTTCACCTGGTTTAATTTCCTAAAAAGTCTTTAAGGAACATTAGGCTATACGATTATCAAAAAAAATAATCGACAGAATTATCCATTTGCAAAATAATTGTTAGTTGCAGCCCTAAATAAAATGTACTGCGTTTGAATTTTTGATAGTTTTGTACTGTTTTAATCATGTTTTAATCATCTTTTAAAATGCCATAATATGATATTTACTGTAATTTGGCATTGTAGAAATAACCTAAAATTATGTTGAATTGTAAAATGATCAAAATAGGGTCTGTGATTTTCAAATGCTGCAACTCTACAAATGTTAAACTGAACTAAATAAAAAGGGATTTAATTTAAAAAAACTACATTTACTAAATAGAAATATTTCACTTTCCTATTGGATAATGGTTAAGGAGCTTAAACCCTCAGAAGCAGAAGGAGTTTGATTTAACTAAATAGAACAATCACTTCTAGATAGTTTATTATAAAGTTAACCATGTTAATATAATTCAAAACCAAAGGCAATTATTCTTACACACAATCTAAATAAAAGTACTTCATTACCATCTCATGTAGCAGGACATTTCCATCTTTGGTCAGCTTTATGTCTCCTGCACCAGACACTAGCCTACAGGATCACACAGCAAAACAGATATTTAATAAAACAGAACATGAATCTTTTTTGTTATATTTGTTTCTATATAGACATTTCTATAAAAATCGTGTCGATAACAATTTATACGAACAGACAAGTTCAGTTCGGGAAGTCACGACCATTAAATCTATCTTTTTGCTTATTTTTAATTAATGTACAAAACATTAAATACAATCTCATATCATAGGGAAGTCCATAGTTTATATTAATATCAGTAAAATGTTAATAAACAACTAATTTAAGGTGCTAGCATTAGCTTAAAGAGCTAGCCGGTGATGCTAACACTCTTCCGTTAGCTTAGCGGTATCGGCGCGAGGGATGACTGGGCAAGGCAACGTGCAGCGGGAAACACCTCATCCGGTTATCAATTTAATACCCTCAGGGGGGATAACGTGTGGTTCTTTGGTTTTGAGGAAGATATTTGAGCTTTATGTGACTTTAAAAACCAGTGTTACCAAGAAGCAAAGTGATGTCTGTGCAGTTTACCGGCAGCTAACTTGTGTTAGCTTAGCTAACTTAGCATCGTGCTAGCTGACGCACAAAGAGCTCCAGAGGCACTCACATTTTCATGGTCCCTTTCGGTCCAAGATTGCTCCTCAGCACGTCCTGGAGCCCACGGGCGGCGCTGATGTTAACCGCCAGAGCAGCCTGCGCCCTGGCCACCTCTGCTTTAGGGTTCAGTGCTTTAACGGCAGCCATCGTGAAGCAGGAAAACCAGCGGAGAAAAGTTATTAAGTCTCGCCGGCAGAAAGCTAACGCTGCTCGGGCTCTGACAGCGAAAAGGAGGGCTGCTTCCAGAAAGCTCCAACACGTGTTGCTGTGCTGCCTTCAGGTGCCGATAAGAAGATAGGACGTTCAGCTTTCAGAAGGACTTGAATCCCAGTTTATGACTAAGCAATGGATATTTTATTTCCATTCCTTTTTTAAAAGTGTTCGTATACCATACACCTTTTATGCATCATGGACAGAACATATTTAGACTTTACCTTAAATCCAGCTCTAAATAAACTGCACTGAATTTAAATAATTCAGGTTTTAAGAGTGGTTATGCCATAGAGCTTGGAATCCAGAGGTTCTGAGTTGGAGCCCCACTCCCACAGACTGCCACTGCGGGTCCCTGAGCAAGACCCTTAACCCCATTAACCCCACACTCCATAGTTACAAATCTGCCTGCAGATTTGTAACTATTTCAGTAGTACCAAATCTGAACTAAAACAGTGAAAAACAAAACAAAAAAACAATCAGCATATCCCCTGAGGAAAAAAAATTCTCAATGAACAAAGTTGATCGTTTGGGGGGAAAAAGTCATCTTGTTATAAATATAAAAAAGTAGTGTGCCTTGTACATTTAACATGAGCATTGTGGATACTACTTAAATGTCCAACAGTCTTTAAATGCACCACAAGTCACACCCTAGGTGTCTGATGATTGGTTACAGGATGTCACGTGAGTGTGGGCAGCAGAAATCTACACCCAGCAGCATTTTAAACGTGTACTCAGTCTTTATGTACTGATATAAAACAAAACACACAGAACAAGAGGCCTTCTATTAATCAGTAATTTAATTCAATATGTACAACTAATGTTCTTAAATCCCTGCGTATTATCATTTCCACTCTGAGGCGCCACTCCTCTGACAGCGAGGAGGGATTTTAAAGACCAAAGTTGCTTATAGACACAGGAGTGACCATATCTCTGGATTTTTTTTAAAATTCCCCTTATCAACAACACAACGGCATTGCTTAAAAATGAATCTCTGTTAGAGCACACAGTCACCCTGATGTAATTATTGTAGAATAAACCAAAGCAGTCAGTGCACAGTAGCTAACTCCATAAATATTGACTCTAATTAGAATACAAACATTTTAATAATCCTGCATTATTTTCACAAATGGAGGTGCCAGGTGTGTCACAATGTTAAAGAAAGAAACTGGAGGAGTGATCAATTGAGAGAAAACAGATTCAGCACATCATTCAATGCAGGGCAACAAAACTTTAACTTCCTACATTTCATGTTCTCTTTATAAACTTCAAAAATTGAGAGAAACTTTATTTTTAGCATCAGCAATACCTCTGAAACCAATCTTGTCTTTGCATTCTGACAGTTAGTTAGAGGTTTTGTAAACAAAAAGACCTTTGTTACGAAGAAAAGGGAGTAAAATCTGAATATAGCCAAGTGCTCCTAATAAAACATAATATTTAAGGCTCAACTGTTTGGGTCGATTTGAGAGATTCAGTTTAAGTCCTCTACAAAGCTAACAAATCATTTCAATGTTTTCCATGATAGGATTACAGAAGGCCAAACGAGTAACTGTCTCTTACACACCCTGACAATTCAGTCATTACAGCATATATCCATTCTTGGAGATTATTGTTGAACCGAGTTTTTTCAAACCAAGACAAATTAAAAGAAGAAAGAGTAATTTATGAAACATAAAGAACCAAAATAAGGACAACTGTATTCAGGTTGTGCTGAATTTCCTGGCAGTGTACATTCTGGAGGTTGGTTACGCTTCACAGGTTAGCGTAGCTGTAGCGCCGGCTGCTTCTGTTGGTGGTTACTTCAGAGGGGAGCTCTTCATAGGAATCATTATTCTGGAGTCCATGTGCTGAATAAGAGGAACTGAGACAAAAAAAAAAAAAACATAGGTAAACATATTTCCAGGATTTAGATTTAGCTTTTTAGGCTAAAAGCTACTAGAATCATCATCATTATCGTTAAAGGAAAGCCCGACGTACAATGTGCGATTTTTGGGCTGATTTTCTAGTTGTGCGAGAATCTTTCGATTGGCCCGACTTTCAGCCTGAGTGTGCGTCGTGTAGTATACAGGGGGTTACGAGCGCCGATCAGCCTCGCACGACCACCTCCTGATATCAAACATGTTTGATTTTCTCCTGAACGTTGTGGGCAAATCGCTCAGGGCGCATGCAGAAACAAGGATTCTTCCTCTCAGATGTAAACACAGCAGCGTGGCAGGGATGCAATGAGTGAAATGCAGTGCTGTGTGTAAAACTGACAGACCGTAGTAGCCACGTTTACTCAGCCATGTCTGTTTTCCAAATACATCATCGCCTTTTCTTTTTAGGACTTTCAGCACAAAATTGCAAAAATTGACAAGGCAGTGAGGGTCGTTGTAGTGAGCTTAATATTCCCCTTCTATTTGTGTGGCATCAGGATAGAGAGCTAATGAGCAGCTCCATCTCACTGTGGAGCTGAGTCTGACGTGGTTTTAAGTCGTACAGTGTGAGCAGGTAGATCGCATGAGAGCGTCGGCTGAACAAAAACGTGAGCTGTGAGCTCGCACTGTACGACTAAACCCTGAGATTAGTCGTACAGTGTGAGCAGCAGCTGCGTGCAACGACTGAAAAAAAAAAAAAAAAAAAATCGCACAGTGCACGCCCGGCTTTAGTTGAAGAAGTTATTTATTAATTAATGACCTGTTATCGCTTAAAGCAGGCATCCCCAAAGTCGGTCCTCGAGGGCCGCAGTTCTGCAGGATTTAGAGGTTTCTCTGCTTTAGCACAGCTGATGCTGATGATTGCAGTTCAGCAAAAGCCTGTTAATCAACTACTAAAGTAAATCAGCTGTGCCGGAGCAGGGAGACCTCTAAAACCTGCAGGACAACGGCTCTCGAGGACCGACTTTGGGGGTAAGTTAAACAGTCAAATCTGCAAAAACAATAAAATATATATACTAGAAACTGACTCTGGTAGCGCAGACCTCAACCAGGCAGCACATTGTGCCCCATATTACGACTTAAATCTATATACTGGTGAAGAATCTCAGTCATCCTGGTCATAGTCATTCCAAAAAAAAAAGTTAAAAGCAAACATAATTTCTAATGATGTTTTCTAAGCCATAGCAAAGCTTTGGTTGGACAATTCTATAAAACCTGGGGCTCCACACTACTCCAGACATTTTGAATCGAGAAAGCTGGATGGGAAGTGAAACATCTTCAAACTTGGAAAAAAGTCTAGTAGTTTTGTTTTTAACCTTTTTTTTTTTGGAATAACTTAAATCTATAGCTAAAACTTAGACATCTTTATGAATTCTTCTTTGGCAATGACACCTACATATAAATATTCCATTAAAATCACTTCATAACTATTCAAGTAATCCTGCTAACAAAACAAAAAATCAACCAAGAAACATGACAGAAAATATAACCTCCTTCGAGGAGGAATGACTATGACCTGGACGACTGAGAATCATCACCAGCTTTTTTGAGGAGGTTGAAGAAAAATCAACATTTAGTGTTTTAGAAAATCCAACAATCAGCCATAAAACCAATAGATTTACCCCTGGGTACAAACTGGAAGAGTAAAGAATGCAAATTCAAACCTACCTGTGTAATAAACAACCTCATCCCAACCCTCTCGCTGCCATGCGGCATTTCTGATTTCATCTCTGGTCTGAAGATCTTTGTAAGCTGATAAAAAAAAAAAATTACATTTATTTATAGGCTGGCCCCTTAAGTCTACTTCAGCTTCAAGCTCAAGGCAGCTATTGTGTAGAAACAGCTGGACTGAGGTGTGTTCATTCACAAAGGTCACAGATACCTAGCCAAAAAAAAAGCTGCCCCTTAAGGGGTAAAAATTAAACAAAATGTTCATTTCAGGAAACTGCTCACCCCATAAGTGATGAACCTGGTAAAGACTTCCAATCTGTGAGAAAAAGCCTCCCACGGCCTCCTGGTTCTGCTGGCGAATCTCAATCGCCCGCGCCCTGCAGATCACCCCGTCAAAAAATGTAAACACAGTGAGCTGCTCATTCCTGAGCCATGAATGCTTTTAAACAAGACAAGGGCCGTTTCTCAATTCTAAATTGGGAGCATGCAGCATAAATATGGATCAGTTGGAACAGATGCGTACTTGTGACGTCATCACACGCTCGGCTCGTCTGGAGCTGCATTTCACCTAATGTTATTAATAATCTCTAGATAATATTAGATTCTGACTTTTTTCATTTCCTGGGGGAATAATAATTAACACTGTCAGATAAACACAATTCAAATTATAATTTAACCAACAAAAAAAATAATAAATCGCCATCAGAGCCAGAGGCGATTTTCTTCCAGGGGAGCTCTGTGAGTGGTCCCCTGGAAGCTGCTGCTGCTGCAGTGCATGCTGGGACAGTTGTCCACCTTGAGAGTGGACAAGTCTGCTCTGGTGCATACTAGGTAAAGAGGGAGGGGTGAGAACAACATCCGGGGACTTTGTCCTTTCTCAGTCTTGTGTTCTTGTGAACTGGAACAGTACTAGGGCTGAGGCTGATGACGTTTCACGAGTACACAGGCACGTGAGAATGCACAAGTACACATTTTGAGAAACGGCCATGGTTTAGTTTCATTTTAAAGTTTAAGGAGTTCCAGCATCAAGCAAATGCCCCATTAATTATTTAATCTTACATAAAAGAGGAAAAAAATTATCCTATTCATTGTTCTCTTTTCAAGAATAATAAAAAAGTGAAAACATTGAAAAAATAGGATGAAGCTCAGCCATCTGAGGTTCTAACCTACAGCACTAAAAAATACATCTTTACTCAGCAATCACATTTGATGACACAGAACAGCAATCTGTTATCTATTATCTGTGCAGTAAAACAAGGAAAGTCATTCTTACCAATAATTTCCCCACTCAATCATTGTCCCTGGCTGGAATTACAGCGAAAAAAAGGACAATGTTTAAGCTTTCGCTATAATAAAATATGTTAAATGAACCAAGCTGGTGAGAAGAAAACAGTCTTACTCTGAGCTGATATGATCGGAGCTCATAGATGTTTGGTCCGGGACGAGGGACGGGTTCACCCCAGAAGCTGAACTCCAGCAGCAGCTGATTTCTACGAGACAGCAGCATCTTTCCCCTCTCATTTCTGTAGTTCATAAACACCTACGGCAGGAACAAAGAAAAAACAGGGCTGTTGTTGAACAGATCCAGAGCTAAACTATTAATAGTCAACTGGGCACATTTCTCACTGTTGAGTGAATTAGGATGGTTTTTTTTTTTAAGCATAAGCCTCACAATAATTTTAAAGCGTAAGTAAAGTGAAAACTAAAAGGGAAAATAATTGGGTTGCATCTCTGAGAGTAACCCCCAACAGCATGGATAACACAAAAATCAATTTCACTACAATACTTACCAAGCATACAGTTCATTTTACTAACTCGGTTAATATCCCTAAATGTTAACACGCAATAAATAAAAAGGACTACAACAGCTCTCTGAGAAATGGTGATTTACACCAATATCGCACATGATCAGGCTCATCACCAAATTTTTATAAATCTTCCCTTAGCAGGAGGTGCACCATTGGCAACAATTTCCTTTAAATCCTTTCGTGAGTTTATAAATAAGGCAAAGCGTGTTTCTGCAGCCTCTGGTGTTTGTCCTGCTCTCACCTTCTTCATTCACTGTGCTTTCTTGTTTGATCAGCAGATCGAGATTTCGAGGGAAGCTTTGCTCATCTTTCCTGTGTTTTTGTCTTCCTTATAATCTGGACTTTTTTTGAGTCTAATGATAAAGCTGTCAATAGCCCCTGCTATCTCTCTGGTTTATTTACCATATAAGGTTAAGAAATCCTTCAGAAAAATCCTGAATCATAATTATGATGTGGGTCATTACCAGAATCTTATGAATTGTTTCTTAGACTGAGGTGCAGGTTTAGTAAAAATGTACTGTACTTTCTCAAATATAGAGTTCACCTCACTATAAGCCGTGGCCACTACTGTCTCCCACCAAACCTGTAGAGGGAGCTCTACTGTACATTTAGCCCCTAGAGTAGGGACAAAGAAGAATGCTAGCTCCTGTTAGCTTGTTGGCTGGCAGCAGTAAAAGCTTCTACTGAAATATGGGGCTTTGTCGGCTCTTTATTTCAGCCCTGCCAGAGTTAAGCCCAGGCTCTTCATTGGTTCAGCAGCTTTAATGCGGCAAATAAATGACTAAATGTGTGACTTTGTGACACTTGTTCTTCGTCGTGCCTGCTGCTAGCATTCTTGTGCTAAATTAAAATTAGCCCCTGTCACTAGGGGTGTAAATAATATTCGTTTTGTATCGATGCATCGATCCAACAGCCGACGATCCGATGCATCGATACGTTCGCAAGAGTATCGATTCATGTTTTTTTTCTTCCTCCGGTCTATTTTTATCCATTTGCTCCTGGACGAATTCTCCCTCCCGTGCTGCGGTGGCGCTAAACCTATTTTGCCCTCCTACCGCGCTTCCTGGCTATACTTGTACAGTAGTGTGTTGCAGTGAGCTTGACACAGACATTTTTGATTTATGCTCAATATTGAAGTGTGGTCTGCACCACACGCTGTGGTTCTAGATACGGCCAAGGCGGTGAGGAAGTGGGGGTGAGTTTAGTCTGACAACGGAGGGACATGAGGGCCAAAAAGAGCGGAGACCCAGGTGGAAAAAGGGTCCCATCGTTCTCGCGCACCTCGCTCTTCTAGCGGGTCAAACTTCACGAGTTGTTTTCCGCATTTTTGGTCATAAAACCAAAACAAGCCGGCCTCCTTTTTGCGGCACTGTTTGCGGTCCGCTACAATATGGGAGAGGTGCAGCGGAGCGTCTGTGGAGGGGGCGGGGACGTCTGGAGCCGAGGTATTGAATTGCACTGATTTTGTGCAGCATTTTTTGATGAAAGGCTTTTCAGAATCTATATCGCAGGGTTATTATTATTTTTCAGTGAATGAGGTTTTAATAGGAATAGATGGAGTGCAACTTTTCTACTTCTGTTATTTGCTGTTGTATTCTTTAGTGAGTTCTTTAGTGAGTTAAGGATAGAAATAAGTAGTTTTAGTACCATAATTACATTATTTATGGACACCCGGATGAATATCTATTCGCCCATGCGCAGGATGGATCGTGCTTCTGGGACGGATCAGGTAGTGACAGCCCCTCCTGTAATTTCCAACTCTGACTTCACCCTCTGGCGGTTAGTGAAAAAAAAATCAACAGAAATGCCACACCTTCTTATAGAGTGAGAAAAAAAGTAGTAGCTGGTAAATACGGTAATAAAAATCCATTCATAACCTTACAAGTTCTTCTGTACACAGACGGACAGACAAACACATTCGACTAAAAACATAGCTTCCTTGGTGGAAATAAAAAAAAAAACAGCTGGAGAAGCAAAGATAAACACATGAACTAAAGACTGGCCTGTGGAACTATCCTATAGGCTGTGAACTCCGGCCCATAGGTAAGCAGCATACAGAGAGCTGAACTAATCCGAGCCCCTGTTACCTTATTCTGCCTGAGTTTGTTCATGACTTCGGTGAGAGCTGGGTATCCTCCCCGATATCTCCATAGGTGAACTAGAATAGAAGGAGCAGAAGTGCCAGAAATAATGCAGCTCTGGAATATGTTTTCCCCTGGGCCAAATATTCCTTCACATCAAAATACTAAAGTCAATTCTTTAAAACAGATTCTCATAAAAAACGCTGTAAAATCAGTTGCAGTATGCAGGAGACGCCACCACATTGCTGTCTGATGCTAAGCATAGGCCACTACTACATAGCTCACTACTGTTTCTCTTTATTTTCCATTAAGAGTGGTGCAGTAGTATTTGATCCTTTACTGTTTATAAAGACATTGCCATCATGACGGTGCTGTTTCAGAGTCAGATTACAGGTAAGGAGCGACGCCATGTGATCACAGGACAAAATGGACTACAGTCAGTAAAAATGGCAAGACACACATCGTTTTTCTTAGCTAAATATAAGAGCAAAGAGACATACTTCTTCACTACACTACCTATCAAAAGTTTTAATACCCCTTAAATTTCTCCACAGTTTGTCACGTTACAACCACAGAACTTTGCTCTCAATCTGCAGGTTTACTAGTGGTTCCTAGTATTTCTAAAAGTAGAATAGGAGGCAGATTTTTTAGTTATCAGGCTCCTCTCATGTGGAACCAACTACCAGTTTTAGTCTGTGAGGCAGACACCCTGTCTACTTTTAAGGTTGAGCTTAAAACTTTCCTTTTTGATAAAGCTTATATTTAGAGAGGCTCAGGTCATCCTGAGCCATCTCTATAGTTTTGCTGCTATAGGCTTAGACTGCTGGAGGACATAGGGACCCATATTTTTTCATCATCTCTATTCTCCCACTCTGCAGAATCTGTTAGTTCAATCTCTAACGTTCTGCTCTCACTGCTTTTTATCATAGTTGCTGGACTGAACCACAACATTTTTTGTTTACTCTTTGCCAAAATACCTAAGCTCTGTTTAAAATAAGTGAAAGCATCTAGGAAGATCAATTTTACTCATGCCACAGATTGAACTCAATTCAAAAATACTTTGTTAATCCCAAAGGGAAATGACAACAGACTGTTTAAGTTGTGGACTATGAATTGGCTGTGATCTGAAGCAGTCCACTGGCTCCAGTTTTTTATGAACATCTGGGTTTCCTTCCAGGGTGGTGTTGCATTTAGCTCAATTAGTCGACCAATCAACTGACCAGCCTTCCTCTGTCTGCTGAAGGAAACAATCCCCACAGAGGCCACCATGGGGATAGTGAAACATAGTGGTCCTTTTAGGTGAGATATATCAAATGCACAACTAATATTTGTCATGAATAGATTCTTCCAGCTGAGATGTGAATTTTTGCAGCTCCTCCAGAGTAGCCCTGGGTATCCTGCCTGCTTCTCTGATTAATCCTTGCCTAACCTGTAAGTTTAGGTTGGAAGCCATGTCTCGGTGAGTATGGGTTTAGATTTTCCTATGATGAAATGAACATTTCTCCATGTGATGTGCCTGACACCTGTATTTATACTGAGATTAAATTACATACAACATGACTCTTGTTACTAATAAGGTGACATTTAAAAAAAATATCTATTGGGATTTATTTAGGGGTTTTAGAGTAAAAACAAAAATTTGTATTTTTCCTCTTCATGGTTAAGAACCACTGTTTTGTCGGCACGCTTGTAGTTGCAATGTGACAAAATGTGTAAACATTGAAGGGATTTGAAAACGCTTGTAATCATTTTTATTTAAAATATAAGAGATGGAGAAAAAAAAGGGATTTGTTAGGTTGAAATGTAAAACATTAAATTTTCCAAATTCTTGTGTTTTTTCTAACTTTACTTGGATTCAACTCAACATTTCTTTAATTCCACAGATTTATAATTCAAATGTTTCGTTTTTTTCTCTGTTAATCTTTTCAGATTTTCAATCTCCCACAGTCTCTGCAATTTTGCATATTTATTTCTCTCTTTTACTCCACGTAAAACAGTAATCCTACTGTTTGGATTATTCTTCCAACAGCCAAATAATCTCAGTCTGACTGGATGTTCCTGAAATGCAAACAGCGGGTCGCTCACGAGTCTCATTATATCTATGGTTTTAGCCATAGCTTGAGTTAGGATCATAGTATAAGAGTAAAAGAGCAGAGGATGTAAAAGCTCATATTATTGATGTTTCATCTTCTATAAAGAAG